ATAGCAGGCACATATCAGGAAATTGCAATATTGGGTTTACATATTATTTAAGTGTTGTGGATAGGAGACCCTAGTTATATGACCTGTCAAAGTTATGTGGCCAAACTTTTCCCCTATTGCAGAGTCTTCTCTGAAGTGTTATATAGAAAAGACCCCTTAGGACATCTCAGGCTTCATACTGAAGCCTACATGTTATGAACCACTCGTAAAACACAGCCACAGTGTGAAGTACACACTAAACTGTCCTGCGGAGAGCAGATAACAGTGTCTGCTCACCAATGGGGACCTATATGTCTAATACACTAAAGATTCTCCATTGGGGAAACTCTACCTGACCAGTGGGTGTCAACAGTGGTGAGCAAAGCTGCTGATATGTCTAGACATTTTTAAAATGTGGTGCTTCCAACACTTGCCTAATTGTCTTCTACACCCTTCTGTCCACCCAGTCTGTAGATAGGGGAAGAAAAAACAATGTTAAACAAATAGCATTTCTTACCGCCAATTTGAAGCTAATAGGAGGACCACTGTAGGAGTCCGGATGGCAGCATTTGGCCCTCATTTAACAAGTTGAGCATCACTCATATACCATGTGCACTGTAGGTACGTGAATTGCTGAGTGTTTTAATGAACTTGGGGGAGAGATAATAGCTGTGTAATATAATTAATTTTATAATGATGGTGTTAGTTTGTATTTTAATTAACTTTGATAATAGACTTACACTGTGTGCTAATTAATTCGGGGAGAGGGGAATATAGCCCACGCATACACTTCTTGAAAAAATAATTTGCCAAATCATCCCATTTTAGAGATTAATATTTCTGAAGAAGTTTGAGTTTGTCTATGCAAAGTATGGAAACATTTTTCTGTATATATTTCACAATTAGGTAAGGTTGTCAATGTTTGATCAGAAATTAAAGGTTTCAAATTGGATCTGTTAAGGAAACGATTCATGCCAGTATAGCATTAACCCCTTAGGAGTTGCTGATTTTTTGGGCCCCCCTATAGTCCTGTACAGCCAGGCAACACACTATTTTTTCACAGATTTGCATTCTGGAGACAGTAAACAGTCCTTGAGCTTGTTTTCTAAGTTTTTTTAGGGGTATTGAACTTGGATGGGGTATAGGGGTGTATGGGATACCCAAGGGAACTGCAACTGAGGACAACTTCTTGACAACTATATTCAAGTCTCTTTTTCGAGCGCTTTCCAGCCTCCCCTGGTGTACCATCACAGACCCCAGATGAATCTTTTCTCATACAGAAGTACTAGGGGAAGTCCATGGGCAAGGGCATTCGAACCTTCCACTTTAAATGTAGCAGTCCCAGTGCAGAGCTAGTCAGGTTTCACACCAAAATGCCATCTCCCCTTATTTGGCCCAGGGGTCCAGGATTACTCACTCAGTCCTTTCCTGTGAGCTGGTAGAAGGCTGCCTTCAGGCCTCCTGCTGGGCTGGCTCCTTCCCTGGCTCCACAGGTGGTCCTCCCTCCAGGGATCAATGAGGCTGAGTGATCCTCCTTTCCAGGTCGACGCCTGTAGGTAGGCCACTTCCCACTGGGCCTCCTCCCAGGATCCTGCATCTCATCCTTTCTCCACCTGAACTCTCCTGCTACTGAGCAAGCTCACTTATACTTAAGGGCTGTCCTGACCCATGCCAAGTGTCCTGCCTCGGGATTGGTCAGGATCCCTTAAGCATGCAGATCAACCCCTACTCACCCTCACCCACTGCTTTTAGAATCTTCTCCGAGTTCCTAGAGCAGGTGGAGCTATCAAGGAACTGATCTGCAGAGCCTGTCAGCCCTGACCTAAATTTGACTGCTCTAACTTTAACCCAGGCTGCTACTCAGCCTTTCTAACAAAAAAAAAAAACTAGCTATCTCCCCCTAGCTAGTGCAAACTCCAGGTAGGTGGTGCTGTGGTTGGGATTCGAGCTGACAACCCTAGTACTGCCAGGTGGAAGTGCTAACCATTTAGCCACTGTGCTCCCCACAATTGGAGAGATTTCCCTTCACTTTCTATCTCATAGACACAAAAAGAAATTGAAGGAAATATCTCTAAAGTGAGGGAAACCCTTCCAAATACAGTGTCCCCATTGGAAGATACATTGACATGAGCAATTTATTGTGAATTACTGAATGAATGAAGAGAATACAGCTTATCCTTATTCACAAAGCTAAGTGAATAGTTACATTTAGTAAGTTAACACATTTGTGTTTATATGGAAGCCATGCATAGTCCAACTTTTGAGGACTTCAGGTATTGAACAAAATATTAAATGGGCACGTGTGAAGATGTGGTCATACAAGTGCCACATCAACATGTGTGTACAGGCTCTGCTGTTGACTGCACAATGAGCTTATTCAGTGCTGGTACCAAACATACAGATCCGTGAGTTTTGAATGTGCATTTAATAATTGCGATACTCATACCAAAGTCTTAGGTTAATAAGTGAACGCATATAGTCAATTTTCCACCTTGGTGTGGCCAACTGTTCTTTAAAAAAATATAAATGGCCCCTTTAAATGCTTATATAAATTGTTTTAATAGAGTTTACATCCTGCAAAACAAATAACTTAGCAATGTATTGACACTGCTAAATGTAGTAAATGCAGTGAAAGCATTTAAACTTGAAGGTTTATAAACATTTCTTATTGAATACCTTGGATGCCGACCTTCATACAATGATAAATGATGTAATTGGTCTACCGATGCTGTGAATATTCACTTCGCAAAATGATTATTGGTAAATAAGGTGAAGGCAAAACTATGTATACTGTAAAAAAACAATTATGGCTGTGAGGGAAAAAAAAAATATTTGTGCTACCATATGACTGGTTTTCAAAGTGAACACAGCAAGGTTGATTTACTAGAAGAGTGCAAAATCTGGTGCAGCTCTGCATGCAAACCGATCAGCTTCCAGGTTTTTTTTGTCAAAAGCCTAATTGAACAAACTGAAGTTAGAAGCTGATTGACTGCCATGCACAGCTGCATCAGAATTTGCACTCTCCAGTTTTAGTAAATCAACCCCAGTGTTACCTTGTTCATGGTCACTTTGCAAAGCGAGCATATACTTTCCAAAGTGAACGTTAATGTTGCTAAGTGATTAGCTCTATTGTGTTGTGTTGTATTTACATGCAACATAACAGAGAAAGCTCTAAATTTGCTGACACTATCGTAAGTTAAATTACTTGATATACTACAGCTCTGATTTTTTTAAATATAAATAATGAATGACCAAATCATTAGCAGTATGATGTTTCTATTATCTTGTATCTCTTCGACATACAGACATAAAGCCCTATCAATGAGTAATTTTCAGCCTTTGCCAGGCCTTCAATTGAGCAGAAAGAAATCGTACATTTCCGTCTACGCCTTCACTAATCTCCCTTTGCCAATTAATTGAATATAAATGCCAAGACCTTTCCTTCTGAATGGAGTGCTTTGACTGGGATAAACGTACAGTTTGGTAGAAAAATTTTCAAGAGATGTTATTTTAATAAAAGCACTAAAAAATACTTATATATTTTTTATGACTAAACTTTATCAAAAGCTCCATTGTGCCTCAGTGCCTGCAATACCCACAATACATCAGAACCCAGGTCTTTTATGTACATATGAAGGAGTATTTAACAGAATGCAATGAAATGAGCCAGAAACATTTCAGATTTTTGTTGGCATCTGTGAGCATTGCAATATGAGAACCATATGACTACAGGCAGATTGGTAGATCAGCTCAAGCATGTGCGCTACATCTTGACCTATGTCTGCTGGATGGAATATTGGTTTTTTTTCTATATTTGCGAATTCCTAGTGAGAATAGTTATACAACAACAGATTTAGAAATAACAGAGAAAACTCTCTATCTAGTCAAAGATAACAAAGTTATAAATTGGTCTCAGATGAAAGATGCATTTATGAAAATATGTTATAAAATAAACAAGAATTTAACAAAAACAAATTCAAGCAAAAACTGGACTTTTTGAACAATTTAATCGGCGTATTTAATTCAATTGAAATCTTCAGTTTGTTTTTAATCCTCTGTCAATTAACATACATGCATCCTCAAAGACAACATTTCCAGTTTTCTTGTCTTGCTATGCATGAAAAGGGCAGTCCTCCAGGTCAACTGCTCTTTATTCCCAAGTGGCCTCTGGTGCAGGTGATCCTTGTACATTCAACCTCGCTTATATCAAGTCTCAAAAAGAATTGACACTGCACTCCAAAGATATTCCTTCTCGGGAAACCTATTTACCACAGTGAACTCTTTCACCTGGCAGACACTTCTGCTCTTAGATGGTTGAGCCTGGTGGGGTTATAGCGCCATCATAGTGAACACAATTAACAAGCAGAATTACATATATTGGAAGTGCAATCTCATTTATAATGTCATTTGCATGGTCATATGAATAAAAATAATTTCCACTTGATGAATATTTTTACTGAATGTCTTTTTAACTGATGTTGCAATACCAGAAGTAGCACTACTGCACGAATAAAAAACTATCTACAAATTAGCAGCATTTTTTTTTTCAAACTCATCTTTGCTTCCCACTGACAGGTATGTTTTTCTGATATCCACACAGATGTTTAAACCATGCTATTTAAACTTTCTCCCCTTCCAGTCCAGGCCAATTTTCAGCTTTCAGCACTATCACATTTTGAGTGACTATTACTCAATCATGCAACACTGTACTCATATGAAATTTTTATCATATTTGAGACAAATAGAACTTTATTTTGGTGACATGAAATCACCACTAGGTTTAATTTTTTTGCCATATAAATGAAAAAATCTGGTAAATTTTGAAAAAAAAATGTTTGCTTAGTTTTTGTTAAAAATTTAGCAAATAAATAATCTTTCTTCATAAATTTTGTCCAAAATGTATTTTGCTACTTTTTTTGGATAAAAATAACTCAAAACAGTGTATATTCTTTAGTGAAAGTTATAGAGTCTCCAAATTATAGGATATATATCTGAAAATTGATCAGATGAGACCCTAAAATTCCAGATGCTGATTTGGGGTATGGCAGTGACCAGGATATTGGTATGAGGTATGGCGGTGATCAGAGCATTGTTATGAGGTATGGCAGCGATCAGGACATTGGTATGAGGTATGGCGGTGATCAAGATGCTGGTATGTCGGTGATCAGAATGCTGGTATGGGGTATGGTGGTGATCAGAACACTCATATTGGGTATGGTGGGGATCAGGACACTGATATGGTGTATGGCCGGTGATCAGGACGCTCATATGGCATATGGGTTGATCAGAACACTGGTATGGGGTATGGCAGTGATCAGGAAGCCAGTATGGGGTATGGCGGTGATCAGGATGCTGGTATGGCAAATGGGGTGATCAGAACGCTGGTATGGGGTATGGCAGTGATCAGTATACTTGTATGATCCAATGATGATCTTCAATTGCTGGTGATCTATAACATCTATCCAATAGTAAGGTGATGTGTCCGGTAATGTAAAGATTGCGCACCCACCAGATGCGCAATCACATAGCACATTTAGAGATAACACTCTCAGTAGATCAACTGAAGGCCCCTTTAAAGGTAAGTATTCTTAGGCAGACGGGGGGGAGACAATCGCCCACCATCCTCCTCCCGGCCGCCTTTCCCCATCCCCAAAACCCACTCATCGGAACCCCCTCACCTGGCGCGTCGAGCCCAGCTTTCACAACCCACAGAGCTGCATTAGGGGAACGGCAGAGCCATTGCTGACAGCAGAGGAAGCAGTGAGGGAACTCCAGACCAGACCATACTTACCTTTAAAGGGGCCTTCAGTTGATCTCCTGAGAGTGTTATCTCTAAATGCGCTATTTGATTGCGCATCTGGTGAGTGCGCAATCTTTACATTACTGGACACATCACCATACTATTGGATAGATGTTATAGATCACTAGCAATTGAAGATCATCATTGGATCTTCTGTACATCACTTCTTTGGACATTGAAATAATTATACTAGCACTTTATTAAGCACCATTGGTCACTACTGTATATAGTGACAAAGTTATATGTTGTGAACAAGTCACTTTATTGTTGTTACAATATAACTTTGTTACACATCACTGGTCACTTTATTTTGAATTGAATATTTATATACATATTCATCAGTAATTTTATCTGTGATTTTTGCACTTTGACACTTCGTATTATGTGTTATGCATTTAGCACTGCACCCATTTTTATATTGATGTTTTGGAGGGTCTTTTGGTACCTTTTGGTGTTTTCAGCAGCTCAGTCGTTTTTAGCGCTCACTTACCTCTCTGTGCTTTCTAGTATACTGGTATGGTATATGGGGCAATCAGAATGCTGGTATGGGGTATAGCGTTGATCAGGATGCTGGTATAGGGTATGGTGGTGATCAGGACGTTGGTATGGTGTATGGCAGAGATCAGGGCACTGGTATAGCATATGGCGGTGGTCAGGGCACTGGTATGGCGTATAACAGTGATTAGGGTGCTGGTAAGGCTTATGACGGTGATCATCTCGCTGACGTGGGGTGTGGCGGTGATCAGGACATTGGTATGGTGTGTGGCAGTGTTATTGTGAGCACTGGGACTAGTGACGGGCTGGCTGCATTATTTATTATGACTACACTGAGGCGATGATCAGAGACATTAGTGCAGTGATCAGGAACACTGGGGCAGGCTGGCACTGCAGTCTGTGAATGTACAAGCAGGCTGACAAGCTGCTGTACACTCACAGACTTCAGCATCGGTTCTCTCTGCTCTCACTGCTCTGCAAAGAGAACTGATGCTTACATTCACTGTGCATTGCATTGTAAAACACCATGTGATCTCTCGGACACAGTGGTAATGTGATTCACTGTGTCCGGATCACACACAGATTGCTGGGCTCCTGGGTACACGCTCTGTGAGCCGCCTATTTTGACTGACGTACAGGTACGTTAGCCAGCATCAGCATTGCTTTCCGTCTGCCATTTATAGGCTATGGCTGGACAGGAAGCGCTTAATAATCTCAAAACCAGAAACCCAGGTTTGTAAGTAAGAGAGGCCTTTGTGCTCTTTGGGCCAAGCTGTTGTTATTAGACACACAGAAGGAATTTTCACGGCTATGGATGACCTCAGCCTATAATCTTCCATTGTTAATAGGGGTGCTTTCCTGGTATCCCAGGGACCTGCAACATAGATCCTAGGACCCCTATCACTATAAGGTTGTTGTTATCGGAGTCTTATATTGTTCTGGAGCATGAGGCTATTACCTACAATATGTCCGGAAAAAAAAAATTTTTAAATTATTTTTTGTGGTTTTTGTAAATTATATGGATTCTCACACTTTGTATTTATTTATTTTATATTGTAGCATATTTTGAGCATATTGGGGTGATATTGAGATTATTACACTTTCAAGGGTGAAAGATAGACCTATATGATAGAGCAGGCTTTGAAATTTCCACTTGCCTGCTCGCCAATGGTGAGTGGAAATTATGGTGGGGGCGAGTGTGTTCCACAGGGGCGTATTTGCCGCGAGGCAAACAAGGCGTTTGCCTAGGGCGGCACTTTTTAAGGGGGTGGCGAAGGGGCAACACCGCCCCCCTCTTTCCCACGGAAGGGACACTTAGTACAGGGGCGGGCTGCTGTGTCTTATCTGGGTCCGCGACTCCATGTCCCAGTCCCCCGTTGATCCCGTCCACGAGGCGCTGCTGGAGGAGGGGTAGGGAGGTTGTCAGCATGTCCGGTGTCTTCATTTCCCTGGATCGCGATGTGTGGGCGGGATGACATGCCGCCCCTGTCATCTTGCCCCACCCCCGGGATCACTCAACAGCCTATGGCAGCTTGTCCCTCCCTCTGCAAGCTCTGCCTCCTCGCCGATGATTGGCCACTGAAACTGTAGCTCAAGAAAGGTACACACGAGGAGGCGGAGCTTGGAGAGGAGGAGCCGAGCCGAGCAGCAGCGCGAAGATCAAAAAAAGTGAGGGAGCAGCCGGCGAAAGTGAAGAGGAGAGCTGCCGGAGAAGGAAGACAGCTGACCGGTAAGTGTCTGTGCCGTGCAGATGGTGCTGCTACTGTAGCCAGGTATGCTGGCTGTGAATGGGAGAGGGAGGGAGCGAGCCCAGGCTGGAGCAGGGGTCAGCAAGGTAAGCATCATTGGTGTCAGTGGGAGGAATAGTGCCCCATCATTGGTGTCAGTGGGAGGAATAGTGCCCCATCATTGGTGTCACTGATACCAATGATGAGGCACTATTCCTCCCACTAACACCAATGATGGGGCACTATTTCCCCCCCCCCACTGACACCAACGATGGGGCACTATTCCTCCCCCAGTGACACCAACGATGGGGCACTATTCCTCCCCCCATTGACACCAACAATGGGGCACTATTCCTCCCCCCACTGACACCAATGATGGGGCAGTATTCCTCCCCCCACTGATACCAATGATGGGACACTATTCCCCCCCCCCACTGATACCAATGATGGGGCACTATCCTCCCCCCCCCCCACTGACACCAATGATGGGGAACTATCCCCCCCCACTGACACCAATGATGGGGCACTATATCCCCCTCCCCACACTGACACCAATGATGTACATGTGTCTGTATGTACATGTGTCTGTGTGTACATGTGCCTGTGCATGTGTATTTCTGTGTATGTACATGTATCTGTGTGTCTGTATGTGCCTGTGTGTGTATACATGTGTCTGTATGCGTGTGTGTACATGTGTCTTTGTGCGTGTGTGTACATGTGTCTCTGTGTATGTATGTGTGTATGTACATGTCTGTGTGTGTGTACAGGTGTCTCTGTGTGTGTGTTTGTTGGTGGCGAATAACTCTTAAGGCCTGGCTAGTAGCTCAGGACTTGAAATTTTAAGCTCTGTGCTAGAGGGTTTAGTTTGTTAGTTTTTTTGTTTATTGGATGCAGTAATTTTTATATTTATATGTCCAGAAGACCTTTAATATCCACCTTGTATGTTTCATTGGTTTGCGCACAGTTAATTCAGCAATCTGCTGGCAAAGGCTTTAACCACTTGAGCTCCGCAAGGTTTTACTCCCTTTGTGACCAGAGCATTTTTGCTATTCAGCACTGCACTACTTCAACTGGTAATTGCGCGGGTCATGCAATACTGTACACAAATTAAATATATATAATTTTTTCACACATATATATAGCTTTTTTTACAGGTATTTGATCACCACTGGGTTTTTTTTATTTGTTTGGGGCATAAATGAAAAAAGACAGAATCAAATTTTGTCAAACATTTAGGCCAAAGTGTATTCTGCTACATGTCTTTGGTAAAGAAAAAAAATTAAAAAAAAATATATTAATTGGTTTGTGTGAAAGTTATAGCATCTACAAACTATGGTATATATATATATTTGAAAATTAAATCATTCTGATGTACTGATGGACTATTTAATTGAGGCCCTAAATTGCTAGGACTGTACAAATTCCCCCAAATTACCCCTCTTTGAAAAATAGTCAGTCTGAACCATTTAGTAACAGTTGTAATTTTTTGTCACAATTTTTTTTGTTAAATGGAAGAAACTGAATAAAATTTGTTTTGTTTATTTCACAATTTTTTAAATATACTGTCACCAGTGCAGTACAGCGTCATCATATGACTGATGTGGGGATGATCAGGAACACTGACTGGTGACAGTATGCTAATAAATAAAATACATATTTTTAATTCCATTTTGTAAAAACATTTTTTTTACTATTTTATTAATTGTTACTATTTTTTAACATACTTTCATCAGAATATTTTAGTGTCACCAGAGTAACACTGTACTACTCTGAGGGCGTGATCAGGAGTTTTTTGTACACTTTGTTTGCTGTTACAATGAAGGTCATCGTAACAGCAAACTTTTCAACTGTCATAAATGGGTTACATTAATGGGTTATATTACACTACTGATCTATGATTGGCTACAGCTAATTACATGGTACAGGGAACTGTGATTGGCCCAGGTACCATGTGATAGCTGTAGGCTAATCACAGCATAGGAAACACAGCTGTTATCAATTAATTCATTCTTAACAGCTTTATTGGCACTGTGGACATGTGATTGCATAGTAATCACATGATCACCGGGCCCAGATTACCGATGGACACAGTGGTCGTGGGGGGGGGGAGCGTACATGTGCATAATTTTGCCTGCAAGTGCCACACAGACACAGTATATGTACTGCAGCAGCTCAGCAAATATGACTCTGGCATCATATTTTGCTCCCCCTCTCAAACCTCGAAGTGTATATATAAATTGGTATTGGTATATAAAATATTCATCAGTGAGGACTGGAAATAACCTGTGGAATCATGGCTTCCTCTGGACAATGTGAAGGAGCTTTTTCCTTTTGAAAGGGAGTTTATTGATACGTAATCTCTGCCTTTTATAGATGTTCCAATCATCCACCTTAACAAACATACCACCAGACAGATTGATGATGTTTTTACTTTTAGGGATTTCACTGACTACCAGTTGGATTCCCTATATAGACCTCACTGAAAGTTGTCTAATGTGACTGTCAATCTCCTATTGGTTAGATTTGTGAATCCATGTCAATGTGAATTAAACCACTGTGAGCATGCTATTGATTTCTAGAGCTATTGAAGGGCTTTCAGATAAAAGTGATTTAGAGACACCCAATCACTTTTATGGGGCTCTGAAGGTGAACCCTACCCACTAGCAGCACACGTAAGGGTTAATGGCTGTAACAGTCACAGTAAAACTTGACTGGAGAACGTTCCCCTGCGACTAATGAACCTGGAAGTAATATGTATTACATCACTGTTCCCAGCTGCAATTTCTTGGCTACTGTAGCTGTGAAAGCAGCTACTTAAACATGATTTGGGCTTGGTTAACCACATGGGAAGACAGGGGAGACACTTTGGGTTCTAATAGACCCCTGATATCCTCATAAAGAGGGCCTGTCACCTGCCAATCCTATTACATAGGGGGATTGTAGCCCCCCTTGTGAGAGCAACAAAGTTGAAGAAAAAATCTTTTAAAAATGGTAATAAAATTAATATGAATACACAACCTGATGCAAACCTGCAGCATAGGGCGCACATGTGTACTGTATATAAATATATATTGTACTACACATGTGAGGTATTGCCATAAACGTCAGAGTGAAGGCAATAATCTGAGGCCAAAATTCAAGGTTAGCTCTAAACTGATAACCTCTAAATGCTTTTAATGCATCATAGAGAATGCAATTTTACAGGCAAGCACAATTTTTACAGCTTGACATGTATGGTATCTGATTACCTAACCCCTTCTTTTATATACTACTAAAAATTGGGTATAACATTGTGTTTGTTTGCACTAAAATTCATTTTAGTGTATTGTTTCTGAAAATACGCGTATGGTAAATAGCTGGTCAAATATCGTGCAACATTTACACTTTCTCTATCTTATTCTCCAGAGTTTATGCTTTCAGAAAATATTTGTTGTTTTATATTATTTATTTTAATTGTTTGGTGATTTAAAGTAATTTCTATAGAAAAAAATGCAAAAAAGTAAAAATTGTCTCAGTAGACAAGTAGTTAGTGACTTCTGTTTTGGATCTGGGCACTTTTATTCCCAATGTTTCTGTTGCTTGGGCAGTGCATCTGCACATCACAGAAGATCTTGGATGGTGCAGAAGAACCTCATTCCACACCTGCTACTACAGTAGTACCTTAAGAAATGGGGGAGGTCTGGCGCACAGGGGTATATAAAACTCCAATTCAGAAGAGGGGGAGAGGGGAAGAAAAACAGATAGTTAATGGAGTATAAATATAACAAATATGCAAGTCTATGAAGGATAATGGCTCAGGTGCATATGGCAACAGCACATGATAAATACGTATATAATATATAAATGGAATGAATAAAGTCTGATAACAAAGTCACTGGGGTCGGCGTGATAGTAGCGGCAGCAGTCCTCAGGAGCAGGACCAGCTCTGTGTGAAAAGATCAGGAGAGAAGAGAGGAACAGGAGGCGCCAAGCTAAGTGTAGTATGTAACAGTAAACATTTAATAGTGGTAGTAAATACACTCACAAGAGTAAGAAATAAATAAAGCTCATCTGTGTTATGGATGTAAAACCACTCTGAATCTGTCCTGTAGGATATCGCCAGTGTGTTATGGGTTAAAAGCAGGATGGCAAAAGTCTTGGGTGCAGTGTGCAATCTTCCTGGAATGTGTGGGAGGATAGTGGAGCCGAAGCACAGTGTCTGTCCCTGGGGGAAGTAGTAAATGGCCACACAGCCAGCATGGAATACACCAGCGGAAGTAACATCCTGTTCCTCTCTTCTCTACAGTAGTACCTTGTAGACAGTCAGTCTCTGTAACAGACTGCTTGACACCCTGACTGGGTATCTCCGCCAGAGAGCTGCTTCCTCACGGCTGAAACACAGGAACAAGGAATTATAGCTGGGAATTGCACCCAAGAACTAGACGATACTAGCTTAGGTGCAAACAGGAACTGTTTTTATTGAAAATTAACACAGAATGTATACCACACAAAATCAGATAAGAGCTTGATCACATTATCCAAATTCATACCACACAAAATCAGATAAGAGCTTGATCACATTATCCAAATTCATACCACACAAAATCAGATAAGAGCTTGATCACATTATCCAAATTCATACCACACAAAATCAGATAAGAGCTTGATCACATTATCCTAAACAATGCAAACTTTAAAAAGTAATATCATCAGTACATCTAACAGTACATCTAATGAACAGCTAGCAGCTAACAATAACCTAATTAAACAGTGATTGAGAAGCTTCTCAAACCCACTCTGCAGGAGGGCCACCTTTTTTTCCTCTGACCATTAACCGGTACATGGTTAATATTACACCTTTCCATCCACTGCAGAAGAGAATCTTTATTGACTTTATTCAGAGAATTAATACAAGCCTATTTCCCAGTGTTCATTATGCTGCCCAGCATTAGAAAATGATCTGCACTCTCCGTGGGATCAGAGGCATCAGAGGCTGAACTGAGCTCTTTTCCATGCTCTGACTGTGAGAAGCAGATAAAATCCCAGTCTCCTCCATGGGCCATAATCAGTGAGTAGAAGGCTAGCCCCTAGTCCCCTCCAAGAACCCCTGTCTCTGTTGGGTCTATCACAGTCTATTTCACATTTGAGCTGCAGATCTCAAGGCCTAATGTCCTCTACTCTGCTCAGATGTTTGCATGAACATACATGTCTGTTTTGGCAAATGGAGGGCTGTTTGTTCATCTTGAGCAGCTTCTTGGTAGTAACCTCCTTACAGTGTGGTTGGTTAAATATTCTGTAGCTCCACTCTAAAAACTTGAACTAGGTACCTTCTTCAGCTGCCCTTTACAGGATTACTACACACTCATTCTGGCATCCTTATTGTGGAATGATCAGGAAACCTTCACCGAAGAGAGTCAGTGTCTTATTTGCTAACACTTTGTGCTAATTTGAGGACTCTATAGCTTACAACTCATTACAGACCCTT